CACACACAGAGCAGAGAGAATCCCACAACCAGCAGGTCCCCCAGCGTGGTGTGGAAAATCAGGACCAGGACACGGAGATTCAGGACCAGAACATCGAGATCCAGCACCAGGACACCCATCAAAGCCAGCAGGGTGAGACAGCAGAGCAGGAAACCCAACAGATCCAGGAGGGTGAGACAGCAGAGCAGGACCAGGACACCCCTCAGGGTGATGGTGCTGAAGCACCAGAAGGGGATCCAGAGAAGGGGGAGATCCTGGAAGCTGCAACCCCAGAGCGGGACAGAAATACCTGTGAGGATGAAGAGGCGACCAAAGAGGACCCAAAAACCCACCAGGCTCCAGAAAATGAGGGGCCAGGAGAGGATTCAACCCACCATGAGGGCCCAGAACCCGAACCAGCAAAGCAGGACCCGAATCCTCCCCCTGAGACACAAGGAAAAGACCCCCAAAAGACCCAGGTCTGTGAGGCCCCTTGGAAAGACCCCAACCCTGGGCAGGATGCCAAGGCCCAGGGAACACTCTGGGGCCCGGATGGCCATCAAATCCCTGAATCCAAGGGGCTGGAGACGGAGCAGAGCGAGGCACAACAGCTACAAGGGCAACCCGTGCTGGAGCAGCAGCTCCTGCAGCCTCTGTACCAGTGGCCACCAGAGCAGTGAGGGCTGGGACGAGCCCAGGCTGCTCCCCCCTGCCAGGAGGTCCAGTTTGTCCAGTCCCACCCTGTTTTGGGTTTTTTTTTTTTTTCCCACTTCTATTTGTCATTTCTTGCCTAATTCCTTCTCAACCTTGGGCTTCTCAGCCACTTGTGCCCAGCTGGGCACGATCCAAGGCCTCCCCTCTGCCCCCTGTGTGAGCAAAGCAATAAAACCAAAAGACAAAATCTCCCCCATTTCCTGGTGTGTTTTTATGCAAGATGTGTCTTCAGGGGGGAGGGAGAATTGGGAGTTGGGGGGGGTTGGCACCACAGCAGGTTCCTCAGAGCTCCCCCCCCACACTCACTCCAGGGGTTTTTCCCTGGAGAATAAAGAGCTGGGAGGGATTTGTGCCGTGAAACCTCACCTGTTAAATAAGCCCCAGAGAGAGGAGTAGGGGAGGAAGATCAGAAATCCCTGTTAGCTGTGGAAGTCTGAGAGAGGAGGAGTGGAGATGGGTCGGAGAGAGGAAAAATGGGATGATCCGGGCACGTCCAGCAAGTTGGGAGGGCAAGAGATGAGAAGCTGGCACAGGAACTGATCTCACCCTCAGTTTGGGGCACTTTTCCAGGCAGGCACGTAGGAATGTGGGTGACTGTGAGGGGGTGGGGAAGTCAGGGGGGTTTATTAGGGGGTGCTGGACCACCAGGCGGGCCCCAGGACTGCGGATCCCGCACGGAGGGATCCCACAGCAGATGAAGATGCTCAAACCTGTTTTTCCCCCCCGCTGCAATCTTTCACTTGTGACCTATCAGAGGCATCAGCACGTGGTAAATCCCCCACAGCTCCTTGCTCTGTGGTCGGTGACCAGCAGCACCCACAGCCCCAGCTGGGAAATCCAACGTCATCCCCCCCACCACCCCCCGAGACACCCCCCAATTTCACAAGTTGCTGGGCCCTGAATCAGAAAAACCCCACGTTTCAAAACACAAACATCAGCAGAACGAGGTGGTTTTTTTCAGGTGCTGAAGTCAAAATTCAATGGATCAGCCCCCTCCAAGTGCACTGGTTTGCTCCGCTTGCTGATTAAATATCTGAGCAGTGATAAGTTGCGAGGCACCTCGTGCTGTGTGGGGACACACAGAGGGAGAGTCAAGGATTAAACCATCACCCAAAACCCACCTGCAGCTCGGACATTCCCCGCAGCTGTTCATTTTCCAGAAAACTCCCGGTTTTTTCTCTTGTAAAATGGGTCTCAGTAAAATACCAACAAATAAATAATCGACATTTATATAAATAAATATCAATAACTAGTCAAAATTATATAAATAAATATAAAAAAATTAAATAATTGCATAACTCCATAATTGCAGCGTCAATAAATATCAATAAGTAATAAATATCAATAAATAATAAATAATTTTAAAAATTAATAATAAATAAATAAATTTCCTGGCCTTTCCCAGTTCAGGAAAGCCCCAAGCCCCTCCCTCACCTGCTCCCCACATCCCTTCGGATGCAGCCCAGGACTGGGATGGTTTCTGCTCCAGTTGAGCCAGAAAAGCATCTCTGGGGAAAAACCAAACAAGAAAAAGGGAGGTTTTGGCGCTGCCAGAACGTGCTTCCCAACTCGTTTCCTCGGCCTGGGAACGGCAGGAAATCCCAAGGAAATTGAGCCAACACGAGGGAGCGTTTCCCTCCGTGGATCCAGCCCCTGCAGGGGGATTACAGACTGTTACAGGACACCCAAACCACACTGTAATGCCCTCATTTTAATAATCACCCCCCAATCCACCATAAAATTACAGTTTCCCAAGGGTGTTATTATCCCGCAGGTGGGGCGTAATTTGCACGAGCGTAATTTAAAAAAAAAAAAAAAGCCCAAAAATGAAGGCTGGTCAGGGACAACCCTCCGTATGAGTGTCCCCGAGGTGTCACCAGCACTAATTAATTAGGCCCCTACACCCAGGATGATCTTAGTTTACAGATGGGCGAGATGAGCCACTCGCCCAAGAGCTGCGTGACGAGCAAACGTCCCCGTCACGCTTGTCAAGGCATCAAAACCACCCTCAAAAAAAAAAAACCCAAATCAGGGGCCCAGGTGGCACCTTCTCGGTGCCTTTCTGCTCAGAGTGAAGAGAGGGATGGTTTGGTCTCTAATTAATTTACTGTTTAAAGATTAAATTAAAAAAAAGAAAAGAAAAAAAAAAAAAGAAAAAAAGAAGGTTGGGGAGGTAATTACGGCGAGAGCTGCCCGAGGGCGGCCAGGGGAAGACTGGACACGGATCGGCCTCTCAGCAGAGAGGTTCCTGCTTTTATTTTTAATTAAAGAGCAAGCAAAGTTGCCAGGAAAGTTGCCCGTGGAAGGCAGTTCAATAGGAATGGGTTCATCACCGTTTTCCTCGGTGAAAAGTCGTCGCTTACTCGACTGACCTTTTTCTTCTCCAAAAATTCCTGTTCTGTTTGGGGTTGGGGGTTTCTCCTCCCCGATAAAAACCTGCGTAACGTGACAAAGAGGCTCTCTGAGAAGAAGAAACCAAGAATAAAACGTTCTACAAGGACGTCCCACGAGCCAAAATTGGGAGGATTTGGGGCTCTCACCGAATTTCACCTTTTTGTAGAGCTTAGGTCTTCCAGCAGGTGTTCCTGCCCGCTGCAGGGGGTTGGAATGAGATGGTCTTTGAGGTCCAACCGTTGTAGGATTCCTCAGTCCTTCTGCGACTAAAACCAGACCCAAACTCCACCAACCTCAGCTCAAGGTGCCCACCAAAAATCACCTCTGGTATCGTGGCACCAAACTCACGGGTCACAAACACCTCAACTGGCCCAAATCTGCCCATCTCGGGGTCTGTTACCACCGGCTCACCCTCAGATTCCCACCCCTGGCACCGAAATATTCACCTGCATTTTTGATGATCGTGGGCACATTATAAATTCCCACCTGGGCAAACACACACTTAGGTTAAAACAGCCCCTCCTTCAGTGCAAGGAGGTGCTTTGTAGCCTCTCCAGGTTCCATAAAATCTGAAATCCGGGCGGCCCATAAAGCAGCTTTGCAGCCCCGGCCGAGGCGGAACCGGCCGGTGCCTGAATTGCCACACGTGGCAACTGCTATTTCGGGGCTAAAATGATAGGGAAGGGGGATGATAAGTCAAATAACCCGTTTGAGGACGTGAAGGCGCAGCTGGGCTTGGCCAAAGATGAATCAGGACAATGTCCACAAAGGGTGGCTCCTCTCCAGAGCTTCCAGCAGGGACCCTATAAAAGCACCCGGGTCCTGCCCTCGTCCGCACGGCTCCACAGGAATCCCACTCGCTCCCGCTGCTGCTTTGGGTGAGTTGCTGCTTCTGAAACGTTCCTCTGGCTTGGGTAAGGACCTGTTTCTTTCTCTGGGATTCGTGTTGGGCGCCCAAGTCGTTCCCGAGGCCGAGTTTTGGGAGGTTTTGCCGTGTTTCTCTCCAGTGAATTGTTGGGTTTGGGGTTTTTTTTTTGGGGGGGGATGCCTTCTTTCTGCCTCTGTAAAGGGAAAACGGGAGAGGTTCAACGACTCCCATTGGTCTGGAGTCGGATCCCAGCTGGAATGAACACAAATCACTTGTTTCCCACGTCCCAAACCCCCAGGATTTCGGATGCAGAGGGTGCACATGCGCCTGTGCACGTTCCAGGGAGACACAGCACTTAGATCTTAGCCCTGATGTTCCCTGATAGGAGGTTTGGGGATCCTGGGAGCAGGGAGGAAGGAAGGAGGTGGCTTTGGAGGTTTCCAAGGCACAGCTTTTGAGGTCTCTGTCCCACATAGATCTTGTCTCTGGGCCGTGCCAGGGCTGGGTTAAACATCCTCTAAGCAGTATCTGTGCCAGGCACGTCCTGGAAGCATCACAAGGATGTGGAGCTGCTGGAGCGAGTCCAGAGGAGGCCAAGGAGGTTCTCCAAGGGCTGGAGAGCCCCTGCTCTGGAGACAGGCTGGGAGCACTGGGGGTGTTCACCCTGGAGATGAGAAGGCTCCAAGGAGAGACCTTGGAGACCTTCCAGGTGTCCCTGCCCATGGCAAGGGGCCTGGACGAGATGGTCTTTTAAGTCCAAGCCAAACCATTCCCTGATTGCTCTGATAACCACCCGGAGCAGGGGCAGGTTTTTGGGGCATCTCTTGAGTCACCATCCCCAGCTCCCTCCCTGCCCTCCACAAACACATCCTGCCACCCCCTGTCAGGCGTCACTCAAACACGTCAGGAGGGAAAGTCGGAGGACACTCCCCATCCCACTAAAACCCCCGAGCCCCGGAATTCCTTCCCACTGCTCCGGTGACGCAGAGTCTCCCACCCTTTGATCTTCTCCTTTCCTTCCAGGCTCGCTCGAATCTGCAGGAAGATGTCCCGCTTCTTAGACAGCATTTCCACCATCATCAGCGTCTTCCACAAGCAGGCCCAGGACGATGGGGGCTCCTCCACCCTCAGCAGGAGCAGGATGAAGGAATTCATCCAGAGGGAGTTTGCAGATGCCCTCGTTGTGAGTGTTGCTGCAAAGGGAGGGTTTGAGTGCGAAATCTCCTTCTGGAGAGGGGATGGTTGTTGTGGAAGAGGGGTGGGGAGGCTTCAGCCAGAGGGGAGCTGTGGTTGGGTTCCTTTGCACTGGGAGAAGGGGCTGGAGAAGCTCCTGAGGGAGTTGGGGGGGGCTCATCCTGGAGAAAAGGAGGCTCAGGGGGGACCTTCTGGCTCTCTGGAATTCCCTGACAGGAGGGGGGAGCCAGGGGGATCGGGCTCTGCTCCCAGGGAACAGGGACAGGAGGAGAGGGAATGGCCCCAAGCTGTGCCAGGGGAGGGTCCGGTTGGGCATGAGGAGGAATTTGTTGCTGGAAAGGGTGGTCAGGCCTTGGCAGCGGCTGCCCAGGGAGGTGGGGGAGTCCCCACTCCCTGGAGGTGCCCAAGGAAGGCCTGGCTGTGGCACTGAGTGAGTGACAAGGTGGGGATGGGGCACAGGGTGGATCAGATAACCTTGCGGACCTTTTCCAACCCGTTGCTGAACTTTAAACATGAAGGTGTGAGGGGTGGAAGGAGAAAAGGTTGTGACTGCTCCAGTTTTGCATTTCTCTGCCAAATCCCTTGGTCATTTCCCTGTGTTTTCCCTGCAGAGGCCGCACGACCCTCAGACAATCGAGAAGATCCTGCAGTTCCTGGAGTGGGATGGCGACGGGGACATCGATTTTAACGAGTTCCTCCTCTTGGTGTTCAGGGTGGCCAAGTGCTGCTACTGCTACCTGCCCAGGGCGCCGTACCTGGTGCAGAGAACAAAGCTCACAGCCGGCGGCAAGACACTCCGAGAGCCCGAAATTCGGAACAGAGGGAGCCGCCGGCAGCTCCAGGGGGAGGAGCAGAGCTGTGAGAGGAACCGCCCCTGCGAGCCAGAGCTGCAACGAGACCCCAGGGTCAGCGAGCTTGAAACACCCGAGGAAACAAGGAGGGATCAGCAGCTCAGGGGTGGCAGAGCCCAGGAAGGTGAGCTGGGAGTGCTGGTGGGAGAGAGGGAAGAACGGGAGGGCTCCCGGCGGGAAGAAGTGGCAGACGTGCGGATTCGCAGCCGGAGCTCCGAAGCTCGACCGCGGCCCGACCGGTGGAGTGGCCGTGGGCCACAGGAGCCAGAAGGACCAGCCTGTGATGAAAGAAACCAGAGGCCACGGGGAGCAGATGGAGGAAGTGACAACCGGCCACGCCGATCTGGATTGCTCAGAGAAGAGAGAAGCCGCTACCACCAACAGGAGCTGGAACAAAGGGCGCTGGAACGGAGCAGCCACCGGGAACGTGGGGAGTGCCTGGACTTGAGACACCCACATCAGTCATACATCGAGGAACCGCTAGACCTTGACCTCAGGGGCCGTGATAGGGCTGAGCCAGAGGAACGTGTCCGTGAACAAAGAGCAAACCAG